TGTGTTCTTTACTTTCTTGCAGATTCACGGTCGGATTTACGTTGTTCCAAAACCTTCCGGTTTTGTGCATCAACAAGCTGCATCCTCACAGGATTTTACCCTTCATTCCACCACCAAAAGGAAAAGGCCCTTTGTTATCAGTCAACAATGCGCAACATCCTGCTGGAACCACACAGCTCACCCAGCCTCACCGAATAATTTTGACCATAACCTATAGCTAGTGGACAGTGCACAAGTAAATCATCAGCACTTCCTCTCATCTCCTTACACAGATTTTTTTGGGAAAACAAATGTTAACTGTCATAAAAGTCAGAATTTTATTTTTCAAAAATTTCAGTAGACAAAATTTAAAAAGTATTCAACAATCTAAATTTTCGTAGTTGAATATTCAACACTACAATTAAAATACTGATGTGCGTATATTATGTCATTCTAATTGAACCTCCAAACTGGCTTTGGTCAAACCTCTACGCTTGCCCATCCCTCTTCTATATTGAAGAATATATAGTTCGGCAACATAACGATATCATCCTATGAATCTAGACAGCACATTCAAATTCATCAATGGTCCAAACTCAGTTTGTCAAAAAAACCATCTTATGGTGCCAGACTATCTGGCAAGATAAAATTCCATAATTCAAGATTTCATCGACTCTGGATTTCAGATGCATGTGATAACAGATTCTTTAAATAAAGAAAACCTAAATAAGAACTGTCTATTTGACGAAGGACACTCAGTGGCATCTTACCATTATTTGTTTTGGGATCTTGTGTGATTTTTATATCTTTAAAAATCCTACCCCTTTTTGTTGTGGAACATTACTTCCTCTTTTATATTTCTTTCATTATGTTTCACTATATTATTGAAGATTAAAGGTTTCTCTTAGGGTTTGCTGCCTAAACGAATTTTTTTTTTAATGTAATATTTTGAAAGGGGAGGTTTTGAGAAGCAATAATTAAAGAGAGAGTTTTCTATTTTCCTATGGTTCTTGACCTTTTTCAAAGGCATGCAAAGTAATTAAGTCAAAACAGTCCCAAGCATTTACTGGAAAATGCAAGCCTATTACTGCCCATTTTAAATTTCAACCACTAGAAAGTTGTAATTGATGCATTAGATTAAACTAAAAAATGATAATTGACAAAGATACCTGCTGTCTGTATTCACCATTCTTATTTGCTGTTAAATAAATCTCAAAGAGTGGAACACCAGCTGCAGCAGTAGCAAGCTGCCTGAAGAAGATGAAAGTTAATAAAAAAAAAATACATATTGCAGGAAGCACCAGTAGTGTGCAGAAGGGAAAAATCCATTCAGCAGAAATTAATTAAAGCCCAAAGTAAAATTTTCAATGGAAACTACATAATAATATATGAGTCTTAACAAAACCCAAAGTACAACAAAAAATGAGACATGAGAAGTATTCCATAAATATATCTTATACAGTGTCTCAATGGAGGATATATTTTATACAATTTAACAAAAAATGAGTTTGTTTTATTTTTCCCATTCTTAAACGTGATATTCTCAACACCTACACCGCCTAATAGCCTGGCTGATGTAATGACGATTTCGGGTTAATCACGGAGGAGCACCGCCTACACCACTTTTTAGATTACTGGTGATAAGTAGGGATATAAAGGTCGTACCCAGTGCACAAGGCTCCCGCTTTATGCAGGGTCTGGGAGAGGTGAGTGTCGGCTAGCCTTACCCCCATTTATGGAGAGGCTGCTCCCAAGTCTCGAACCCGAGACCTACCGCTCATGGGCGAAGGCACTTGCCATCGCACCAAATGCAACCTCTTATAAGTAGGGATATAAACGGGGAATTTTTAAAACAGTATCTTGCTACTAGTATTATCAGATCCAATCAGTAGCATCCCTTGTTTTTAGACTCCTGTTCTTTTTTGGCGAGAACAAATGCAAAGCCACTCGGACAAACTAGCATCTAAAATGGGTATAGATAAAAGTCGGCAAAACCATTGACTAGCCATCCCACATTAACTTAAGAAAAGGACAAAAGGGGTTATCCCAGACCCTCATAAATCTTCACGAACAATAAACGAATAAGATGCTGAAAATCAATTTCAAAAGTCTTCGTCAGTTTGGATTCCCCTATGCTAACATGCATCGACTGTTTGTCTTCTCAACCCCCATACTTCTCCCTACTGCTTCACATTAAACCTTTAGGTCTTACAATTCAAAATAAAGAAACTATAAACCATTAATTTTGAACTTTCTCTTACTTTTTATTGGTTGAGAAGCTAGTGTTACCAAAAACCAATTCTCTGCTGGTCTTGGTTACAACAAAAAACAAAAGGTACTCCCTAAATTAAACAAACAAAGCAAACAACTTACCGGGGACTGTAACTCCTTGCGACATATCTTCCATGCTCCGCAGTCACTCGAATAATTATGCCACGGGGATCCTTCTTATCTTCAGAAAGACCAGCCCACCAACCCACCTAGAACCCAAAATCGGAAGCACACATATAATTAAACCAAGCGCAGTTTTACCAATGCCCAATTGAAATTCAACAACCCAAACACACTTAATCCAAATGCATCAAACTGAAACACAGGTACATTTTCACATTAGTAATCATAAACTCATTTCCTTGTTGAACTGACTCACCAATCCGGCACCAGCATTATCTCGGAAAAATGCGGCGTCCTGGTATCGTTCTTCCTGTATAGCTCTCTGATATTTGAAAACGAGCAAAATTTCTTTTCAGAAAGTGAAACCAAAATTAGAGTGCAAACAGAGAAAGTAAGTGAAGGGAGGTAAAAGCACATACATTGAGATGAGAAATGACTCTGCCAACGACGTCGTTTGTAGCTGCAGCGGCAATTGCAACCTTGAGTCTCGCAGCATCCTCAAAGTCCTCTGCAGATACAGCCCGACGCAACTGCGACTGTTCAAGTTTCAAACACAAAATTCACATAAATAAGCAAAATCATCATCGCTTCAAAATATATAAATACACATATACATATATATATATAGAGAGAGAGAGAGAGAGAGGGGCAGAGAGAGAGAAGGAATTGTGGTACAAGTAGAGACCTTGAGAAGGGAGACAAGGCGCTCTTGTTGTTCGACCTCTAAGAAATGGCGGCGCCAGCGATCCCAGTCCCAATCAGGGTCGTCGGTCTGAAACGATGCGGATTGGGCGTCTGGTTGTGGTTTAAAATTGACGTAAGAATCGAAGCTTTTGATGGCGCTTTTTATGAGGTTCTGGAGCGCAGAGTCCCATCTCCACTGAGTTGAGTCGGAGGAGGAAGAAGGGGTCTTCTGGCATCGGCAGAGGGACGAATGGGGAAACCTCGAGGAGGAGGTGGTTTGGGGATGGGAGGAAGGGTGGAATGGTCTTTTGGCGACGGAGGAGGGGTATGGTTTGGGGTTGGGAAAGTTGAGCTTGTGAGGACTTGGGGTTGGAGCAGATACGGAAGCCATTGATACAGCAGAGAGAGAGAGAGAGAGAGAGAGAGAGAGAGGATATGTGTTGCGTTGGTGCGTGCGCGCGTCTTGTTTTTGTGTATGAAAAAGAGGGGCGAGTGAGGGGTTGCTGTGGCCGCCAAATTTTTTTTTTTTATTTTTTATTTTTTTGGAAACCCTGTGGCCGCCTAACTTAGGGATAAGGTCGTCTCGTGTTTTACACACTCGTGATGTTCGAACAACATGAAAACAATAAACCAATTATTTATAGTTACTTAATATTATAATTTAGTAATATTTTTCTTCATTTGGTGAGAGGTTTTAGATTCGTTATGAGACTAAACCTACTTCTCTCCCTTCAAATTTATCTTTGTCGATAATTAAATTTAAGATCTCTCACTAAAGAAATTTAGATCTAATCAATTGTACATAGAAATATTACGATGATCAGGAGTATCACACTCAAATAGAAAACTTGTAACGCAGGACATGCTGCTGAAAATAATGTCAATTATTTATTCAAAAGCAAGCAACCAAAACAAACAAGGTTTTTCAAAATTTTAACTTAAAATTTTTATTTTTGTGTTTTTTATCAAATATTTAACAGTTAAAAATTTAGGAATCCCAATTTACAAAGCACTAAAAAAAATTCAAGGTTTATTATAATAAGATCATAAAGGAGGAATTCTTTTATGCGCTGCTCCGTATACGACAACCTTATGGATCATAAAAGATAGGGGAATACAACGTGCCGCAGCAGCACGGTGACATGCTATATCCATTTGATTTTGTACATTAGAATTTCTCCTCAAAAAGTACACCTCTATCTCTATGGGGATAAAGCAAAAATGTAATGTTATTTATATCATATTTTTGTACCGTATTTTTATATTATTTTAAGCGACATTTAATGTGAATAGTCATATCATTTAAATTAATGGAATTTTAACGAAAAGCGCATGGTACTGTTTACTTTAACGAAAAACCACATTTTTACACTAAAAAATCAATCATGATACTATTCACTTTACCCTTTATTTTGTCCTTATCATTAAAACTCAAGATTTTCAAGCCATTTTCATTAGTTTTGTTTTAAATTAATTAAATTTTTAAATTTAGTTCATTATTTAATAAACTAATAATTTAAAAAAAAAACTAGTTAATTAAATGATGATTGTGGTATACGATGAGTCTTTCTTATTCATTTTCTAGGGTTTTGTAAATTTTTCAAATGATCTGACTGTCCACATTAGATGCTACCTAAAGTGGTATAGAAAGGTGGTATAAAAATATGGTATGAATAGCATTTCTCAAAAGCAAAAACAACCAACCCCTCCACCAGCCGAATCGATCTCATTCACCCAGTTTGGTTCCGTTTTTAACTCAAAATTGTGATCTTAGACAACTTTAGTTAGGCCTAAACCCAAATAAGCAGTTTTACCACCTATATTTACTTGGTGTTGATGATGGTGATTTTCATCCCTTCTCGTCTTTTTTTCGACTGCTCATGTATACTTTTGCATTTGTTTGAGTCAATCTTCACCGTTCACTTTCAGAACTGCTCCCGGGCTATTGAAGAAAACTTCAGTTGGAAGTATCTGTAAGAACTGGATTCTACAGATACCCAACACTTTTATTTTGAAACTGATGAGAAATGGATTCTTACAAATGCACTTTTTGAAATCACATGTTACATGTTCAGATTGCATACCTACTTGAAATTAAAACTCAGGGAGACTTCTTATGCAACAAGGGATCGGAAATGACTTGGGGTTCAAAATCCGGCTTCACGTAACTAGCAAGCAGGTCTGCGTACAGGTCATAACGAGCAGTCATTCGGAATCCCCACTTGTCTTTTAACTGCCTGCAGAGGTTGAGGTCCATGTCTGAGATCAACAAGCCATCCCTATGGCGTGACAGAGATGGAGTGCATGAGGCATCTGGGGCTGAAACATGGCTGGATCCATAGAAATGCCCGAAATCTGCATGCTCTGGCTTCCCATCACCAGAAGTGAATGGATTTGGGAAAACCTCAGTTCCTACACGGTTGATTGATCCAACAAAGTAGCTATTTGCAATTGCAGCGTTACGAGCCTATATCACAGAACAGTCCAACCGTGTGTTAGTTGATGACTACGGGAAGAAATAGTGGACCCTATAAAATGAAGAATGAGTAAACACTAAACAGTAACTTAATTCAGGCCAGACGGATTTGCAGATTAAAAGAGAGAAATTATCGCAAAGCAGTGGCACGTGAAAATGAAACAGATGAGCAATAGTTAACCTCAATGGGCCACATTGGTTCACTGAGTTCGCCCACAGTGGCGGAAGGGTTGAAAACAATCTCTGCACCATTCAAGCCAAATGCTAACCAATTCAAAGGATGATGCCTTCCATAGCATATATTAACAGCAATTTTTCCATAAGCCGTCTCGAACACTGGATGCCCAGTATTCCCTTCCATATAATAAGTACTCTCGTTGAAGTCGCCAACTCTTGGTATATGGTTCTGTCCGCTATCATTCTTCAGCATGCATTAAACAGAAAAGATATAACGTATAACATAACAACAGATAAACTAATTCGCTTACCTTTCGGTGCTTGCCAATTATGTTTCCATTATTACCAATTATGACTGCAGTGTTCCAGATAGTATCTCCATGATTGACATCTCTCTCAAGAATTGGACTTATAATGACCATGTTATACTTCCTTGCAAGATCCTGGATAAATCGCGTTGATTCCCCATCTACAGGCTCTGCAAATTCACACCACCTCTTCTCCCGCGTGCAAAAGGCAAATGGCATTGTCCATGCTTCCTGTGTAAAATTTAAATGGATTCGCTTGAAATTATCAGACACCATTAGAAAGTAAATCAGAAAGAGTTTCACCCAACACGGCACGAGGCACGACCAACCTGCAAGCATAACACGTTGACACCTGAAGCACCCGCAGCATCAATTATTGGCTTTACTTTCTCAAAGATAGCCCTCTTCTGGTCCAAAAAGTGGGCAGTGGTTGGAAGAGCAATAGAGTTCTGAATGAGACCAACCCTAACTATTCGGGGTTCTCTCAACAATTCTTTGTCAGCAAGAAAGCAGTAGGCCTGAAAGAGTAGATAAAAAATTCCAGAAAAGTCAGGGAGAAATTGATTTCAGGATAAACCATATGAAAGTGCACAAGTATAAAAACTCCATTACATTTACATAAAAGAAAACAAGCTCAATGAGCTATAGGATAACAAAAGAGATGGTTTTCATAACAATTTCGAAAATCAATACGCCTTGATGTACTTTTGCAGAGAGGCCTTAGCACACCTCCATTGATTGTGAATTACTCGTATGTGAATGGTATAGTTGCATGCCATCGCAAAAAAAAAGTTAAGAGTAACTTCCTACCTGGAGGTCAAAATCATGTCCTGAAGAGAGAACCTTAGCAGATTCTGGGAGAGAAATTGTTTCAAGTCCCTTGCCGCGATTCAGACCCAAAAGAATGCGGCTGACTTCCTGAAAAAAGTTATTTGCATCATAAAAAAAGAAAAGCCATAACATGTCCGATTCCGTTCAATGCAAAATAACAAATAAAACCAACTATCAAGGAAGAGATATAAGCTGATTTATACGGAGACTGCAAGAATTTTAATTCATTCCGGGATCGGTATGTAGAAATTCAATTCCCGAAGGGGAAATGAGAAACAGAAGAGAAGAATACAATAACATAACAACAACAACCACCACCACCACCAAACAACAACAACAATAACAACCAAGCCTTATCTTACTAAGCGAGGTCGGCTGTATGAATCCTAGAACGCCATTACACATCCAATTTTTTTTCAGCTAGCAACCATGCCAAACAAGCAAATAAACAGCCAATTTAATGTAAATGGTATTTAAAGTCGAGAGAGATACTATATTCTAAATAAATGTGACGAACAAATGTTTGTGCACTCGAGTTTGAATTTCCCTTCCCCTAGTCTTAGACAATCGCTTCACTTGTATAAAAGGAAGGATATGAACAACTGGATCAGCTGAGTTATTTTCCTATTTGGTAATGAACAAAACAATCCACCGTGCAAATCTGAAAAGCAGATCCTGATCGGAATCGTTGAGCCACTCCAGAATCGATAGGCAGCCCAGCCCAGAAAGATTGAAAGAATGAATCAAATAAATGAGAAAATGGATTACCTGGAAGAGATGGGGTTTGAGATTGGCGCTCAAGAGGTGATGAAGTGAGTCGTACCCACAAACGGAACCCTCACGAGAAGAAGCCTCGTCAACTTTTCCATCGATGGCGTCTGTTTTCTCCATTATTCGTCTCTCTCTTCTTTTTCCTCCTGTGGTGAAGTGATACTTCGGGTGCTGCTGGTGCTGATGATTATTAAATTATTGAAATTATGTCTGACAAACTTGAAACAGACAAAAAACTGTTTCCACTCCTATGAATATTCTAACCTCTCTACGCAAATGCATTATTCGATTTTTTATATATATTTTTTTATGCAACAAATAGAATAAATCAAATTAAAACAAGAATTTAAGAGGAATAGAAAAATGAAAACTAATGAAAGGCTTATTATATTAACACCTTACAAATTCTTAAATAAACTCTACATACTTAATACACCCCACATTTGCTTTTTCACTTAAAAATTTTCTTAATTCACCTTACATATTTTCCCATGGCTAAATCGCGAAAATGATTCCTGAGATTTGCATAACTCCTCATTTTGGTTCCTGAGATTTCAAATCAATAGAAGTGGTCCCTGAGATTGTCCACCATCCATTATTTTGGTTATTCCGTTAAAAACTCTGTTAAGTGTCCCGAAGCTCTTGGCCAGAAGTTTGGGCAATTTTCAAAGCTTCATAACTCAATTGTTTTTTAACCAAATTCGACCCATAATATATCAAAATGAAGATAGGAAAGTGTGGAATAAGATTATACCTATTTGGAAGCCCAATGGTTTCTGGAGATGGTCGGAAAATAGCCTCAAAGTTGACTAGTCCGAGGGAAAACAAAAAAACTCGCCAGAAACTGGGTAAACTTTAAACATTCATAATTTCTTCAATACTCAACAAAATCAAGTGATTCAAAAGAAAAAATCATACTTATCGACGAGACGAAGAGAATGGTATCTTTTTTCAACGGCTAACGCGCCGTGGTTTGGCTGAAAAATGGCTCGAAAGTGGCTAACTTGAGAACAAGACAACCACTTTTGAGCCGTTTTTCGGCCAAACCACGACGCGTTAGCTGTTAAAAAAGGTACCATTCTCTTTGTCTCATCGATAAGTATGATTTTTGTTTTTGAATCACTTGATTTCGTTGAGTATTGAAGAAGTTATGAACGTTTAAAATTTACCCAGTTTCCGACGAGTTTTCCAGTTTTCCTTAGACCAGTCAACTTTGAGGCTATTTTTTGGCCATCTCCGGCAGCCATTGGGCTTCCAAATAGGTATAATCTTATTCTACACTTTCCTATCTTCATTTTGATATATTATGGGTCGAATTTGGTTAAGAATCGATTGAGTTACGAAGCTTTGAAAATTGTCCAAACTTCCGGCCAATAGCTCCGGGACACTTAACGGAGTTTTTAATGGAATGACCAAAATGATGGATGGTGGACAATCTCAGGGACCACTTCTATTGATTTGAAATCTCAGGGACCAAAGTGATGTGTTATACAAATTTCAGGGATCATTTTCGCGATTTATCCTTTTCCCATAATACCCCCATACCCCACATTCTCAATATACATCTTATATTTTGTACATACACCCCACATTTTCTTTACACCCCACATTTCTCAAATCTTATAACACTCTTTTTTAATTTTCAGGGATTGAATCTAACCATTTGAACGTTTAGTTTGCCGAAAGATTTCAAATCATCTAAACGTTTAGTTTGCCGAATGATTTCAAAATGATGATTTGAAATCATCTTAGTATAGTTTGAAATCATCTTATTAACGCGTGCTAATTCGAAAAACACAAGGGATCCTTATTCAACTTCTAAATCTAATGTTGGACCTATTATATGGCCAGGAGATTCTGCCTCAGTTCCTAAGGGATGGGAGATCCCGACAAATGGCAAAAGATTGAGAGTAAGAGTTCCCGTGGAGAATGGCTATCCTCAATTTGTAAAAGTACTATTGACTCTAGCACTAATATGACTCATGTTACTGGGTACGCAAGATTAATATGAACCAATGTTCTAAAAAATGACCTAGGCGGCTGCCTAGGCGCTAGGTGAGTTGGAACCGAGGCGATTTCGTGCAAAACGGCTGGAAAAATCGAGGTGGCTCTAGGCGACACCTAGGCAGGCTAGGCGGCTTAGGAGGTGCTAGGCGGCTGGGCCTTTTTTTTTTTTTTTGAAATTTAAAAAATAAAAAATGAAAACTTAGATTAAGTATCTTACATTACTATATTTCCTTATTTTCCTCCTATTTTGCATTTTATGTTGTTTTAAATTGTGAACTTGTTGTACATGTGGCATCCTACATTACAATACTCATCACTATGGTTATATGGCATTGTTGACCCTAAAAACTATCAAGCCTACGTGGTGCGCAGGCCAAGTAATTAATAAGTTAACTACAACATTTGGTTATGTGCGGGGCGTGCCAACTTGACGGCCGAGCTTGGCCAGTGAGTAAAATTTGTTGATGTTGCGTTGGGTGAACTGCTGACTTCTGAATCTCGTGACTGCGACCGAGGAAGAAACACGTCTCGGCCTTCGGGTTCTAGAGCTTGAAGACAAGGCTGCTAGTTCTGCGAAGTTCAATATCAAATTTGACTTTCAATGTGCCAAATGTAGTAACTTGTAACACCTCACTTCGCCGAGAAAGCTAATAAGATGACATCTGCCAATAAGGATTCTAAAACCCTTCTCGACTGAGACTTGGATAGATAACCAGTCGGCCTCGACGCAGTGCTGTTTATCCAAAGTGAAGGTGCTCCGCGATCAGCTGATTCTACGGCAACAATGTTGTTTATCCAAACTGAAGATATTTGCCAGTTTCCTTCATAGTGCTATTTATCCAAACTGAAGATGTGTTGGCGAAAATAGAAACTAAAAAATCTCAAGGTTATTGAGAGGTTTTGCGTAAAGCGAGGGTTTGCGCATGGCAGTTTGTATGTTGAATTGGAGGTCATCTATCCGTCGCAGAGTATCTTGTATTTATAGCATTCTGTCTTCTGCTTGGCTTGGCCAGATAGTAGAGTCCAATTGCAACTCTAACTGGTGGAATGAAAAACTGACATTAGCTAAAGCCTATCTTCCAGATGGCTATCCGTAATTTTCAATAAATAAACAAAAACATTTCCAAGATTATCACATCATGACCAAAGACCTAGCCTACCTAAGCCTCCTATCTCATCACCTTTAATGGAATTATCACATCATGACCAAAGGCCTAGCCTACCTAGGCTTCTTATCTCATCACCCACATCCATGCACGCACCTGATCCCTTTTCTTTAATATCAGCTTGCAGCATATCCAATCCACACGTCCACACCCCAACTCAAATTGAACTGTACTGCTTGCTTAGGGATATAATTCACATCCTATTTATCCTGCTTAAAAATATGCCAAGATAATTCATATTAAAAGAATAATTATTATGATAAAAACCATAATATTATTTTTTAACAAAATTATCTTCACTTTTCCATCTGACGATCGGGAGCTATGTTCACTCAACGGCCTTAATTGCACGGGCCGATGATGTACAATCGGGTCCAAACAGGCATAAATGCTTAATGCGTTTTTAAATTTTGGACTTGTTGGATACTCTTTTTGCATGTTATCATTCTTTTATTATCTTATCTATGAATTTCATACAAGTATAATTTTTTGTAAGTGACAATATGCACTTATTTGCAAGATATACAAGAAATTTACATAAATCATCATAGTTGCTAGGCGCTAGCCTACCGCCCGACTAGCGTCTAACATTTTTTAGAACCTTGTTATGAACCCTAAAAGATGAATATGAATATATAAGTTTAAATAACGCAACAAACGCAAGATTAAATAATTATCCATGTCATCGAAATCACTAAAACAATGAAAAATATGAAGTCTTACCTCATGTGAAGCTTCCGAAACATTGATTTTGTGTTCCATTCGTCAAAAACAATTTTTCTCAATCAACATGTTTGTAGTTTCATTGGTTAGGGTTTTGTTCAACAATGGAGGATAAGAGAGTTTTGATAGTTGAAAAGATAAATAATACGCTAAAAGTGATTTGGGGTGTATTTATAATTTTTTTTTTTTTTAAAAACCTAATAAGGTCAAAATTGTCATTGCATAGTGGGGTAAATAAGTCATTTAATATTAAAATTTAATGTGGGGTGCATTCAACATTTTGTGGTGTGTTAATATAAAAAGGCCTAATGAAAATAGCTTCAAAAATTTGCATTTTAACCAAAAATCACCCTATAATTTTATTTAATAATAAGGACAAAAAGAAGAAATTAATAAAAAACAAAAATAACCTCACAAAAGCTCGTGCATTGCAAATTCTGTAAACTTACCATATATATTGCAGCAGCCCACACCTTTTATTATTATTTTCTTTAGTAGCTTCAAACCCTAGCCTCATAGCCCCACGTGCCTCCTTCCTATTTCTTTATTTCATGTTTAAGATCTTTAATGATGATAGTTAGTACTTTCAATGCTCTCCTCATGTTCCCACTCTTGCCATTTTCAATGAAAATGTAATAAACTATCTCCCATAATAATATTAGGGAATTGTTATTGATACTCCAGAAATCTCATTTTGCACTCCAAACTTTTTATACTTAGAAAGAAAAATACATTTGTGAAGAGTGTAAAATGAGATTTTTGAAGTACTAATAACAATTCCCTAATATTAACTGACCTATTTGAACTTTTTATGAGAATGGAATAGGCTCTCATCTTTCCTAAAATTAGAGAAATATCTGCTCTCTTCAGACTTAAATGGCTAATTGCTTTGGATGACACTTCCTGAAGAGATTCGACCATCATAATACTTTTGACGACATTCTCGTGTATAGAATAATTATTTGGGTTTGCTATTCATTGTTAGAATGTTTACGACTCATCCATTAATCAATATAACAACTAATCAGAAAACACAACTAATCATTTGTATCTAGTTAATGTTGATGACATGTCTTTTCCAAGTTTATTTTTCAAACCATTGGCCACTAATTTCTTGGCCCCCAAAACCATAGATGCTAGTGTGCATTTTCTATTGAGCTTCGCCTGTTGTCCATTGTTTTCTCTGCCATGGTTAATGAAATAGTGATAGTACTAGTGTTCAATTTAAGAAATAGTCAGTGTTTAGTTTACGAAATAGTGATAATATTAGTGTTTAGTGTTTAGTTTAAGAAATCGTCAATGTTCAG